ATGATCAGGCAGATGAACTAGCTAAAGAAGCAACTATTAATCAAGATGGTACTGAAATCATCATTCCGTGGCCTCGCTCAAATTTCAAATACCAACTAAAACAACTTGCTTCAAAATCTTGGCAAGATTTGGGGAACAATGCTCCACAGGGAAGAAGCATATATAACTTGATCCCCAATGTAAGCTTCGCATCTCTGTACTCGAATCCTTCACTAAATTACTTTATAACAGGACATGGACCCTTCCCCACATATTTCTACGCAAGAAATTTGGCAAATTCTGATATCTGTATATGTGGGGAACAGGGAACTCCTGATCATTACACTTTCTCATGCCCCTTAACTGAGGATATTCACATAAAATCCCCAAGAGCTGACCTCCTGGCATTCCAAAGGTTTTTAATTAAAGATAAACATCAGTATCCAAAGTTTCAGAAAATTATGCAGAGACTCTCTTCATACGGCCTAGATCTCTGTCAAGTGTAAGTCCTCATACTGTTTAAACTCAGTGAACTTTTACATGCTGTGATTATGGACAAAATGGCTTCGCTCATGAACTTTATAATAACTGCAATAAACCAATATATCTGAAATAACCCATCAACACCCACCTCTTTAGCATTATTATTACAATTCATTTTAAACATTGTGTTGCCAGTACTAATTGTAATTATCTCTATGTTATCTGTTTATTAATTATGTTTATCTCCTATTTTTGTTGCACCAAATCAGATGCTCAATTTATCTTGTGAATCTCAAATTGTATTCCGACTATTTTGTAATCTACTTATGCCGTACATTATTATTTTTAATAGATACTGGATGCGGGGTGTACTGTGAGATTGCACGATGTACCATAATAGGCAAACTCTAGACCTTTTGGAAAGCTTCAGTCTATGCAAATTCTTATAAAACTTGCAATTCCCCCCTTTTTTTTTCAAAGAGTTAGTATGGGAAGGCATTACCAGTTGACCTATGGTACATCGCTGGTGTCCCCTATACTTTTACCTTTACCTTTACCTGTCAATGGCGTAGCACGCAGATAGCGTACTGAAAAGGAAGAATTGTGATTGCGCAGAATGCTAAAATGTTAAATCCATAATGATAGGAAACTTGGCAGCCGAGTAAGATTAAATGTTCAATTTTATTTCCAATTCACTTGGCACTCTAACTGTACTTGGTATTTCCAACACATCTGCATTTTTGATACTGTCGCGATAGGAAGAGATCACAGCAAAACTGCGTATTTACAAGAAAAGAAGTAGCAGCTAAAGCGCGCAGTTATCCGGTATGTAGGCTCAAGAAGAAAAGGTTTTGTTTTAGATTAAAAAAGTTTCACTTCTCAAAATTTTGAGTTCAGGTTCCCAATTAGTTAAGTCATGAGCGTTACGCAAGCCATGCAAGATCGATTGATCTAGAAATGACGCAGTTCAGAAATGTTATTAGGATTTTTAGAATAGAGAGGGGGGAATTAAGGAGTTACCACTAGTTTAAATTGTAATTTTGATTTACATATTTTTTAGTTTATATTCCTCCCACCCTCTTCAGTCAGAAAAGCCTTTTTAGAAGAAAGCATTAAAGCATCAGCGAAGCAAGAAAAATACAATTGTGAAAAAAAAACATAGAATTTTGATTAAATAATTTTTTAAAATAACAAAATCTTGTAGATACCATTTTTAACAATAAATGCAAATTAAAATTCTATCGAAATTTTGAAAGTACGCCAGTTCATTTTTCTGTGAAAATACTGTAAAGAATATCCTCATTTTTTTAAGAAATAACTGAAAAAGTTCACAGTTCTGGAATATCTTTACTTGAATATTATAATCATAATGTTTTGCAATCCTTAGCTTCAAAATCATTTGTAAAAGTTGTTGTTGTCTATATAAAACCAAAATTTTCTTTAAATATTTTTGAAATTTGTATTAAAATTTCATACAAATTTTATACTTAACACATAAATAATACTCCACATTTTCTTAATTGTAAAGCAATGTAAAATATACTTTAGAAAATAATAACCGATCACTAACAAAATACAATACAGTAATACTACAACTCTGATCAAAATGGGCAGGTCCTTACAAAGCGAATTAGCGTTACAACTTGCTGAGGGCTGTGGGATGTATAAATACAGCAGACTTTAAAAATCTCCCTTCTTTAATAAAGGGTAATTGCTTGTAGTATTGTATGATTATCAAAGTTTGTATTTATAAAAAAAAATCTTCAAATTAGTTAACTGCAATTACAAAAATATATAAAAATTAAAATTTAAGACGAACAACTTGAATGCTCAAGTTAGGTCTTTGAAATTTTTCAAATAATATTCTACATTGTCTTACAATAATAATATGAACCATATAATTTTGCGAATATGAAACAAGAACAAAAAAAAATCTCCACAATGAAGGCTTTTAAAACTTTTCAAATGTAAAAATTTTAAGTGCATCTATTAATTACGTTACAAAATTACAAGAAATTTCAAAATATTATAATGAAATTAATTTTTAATTCGAAACATCATTTGGCATGACACTAATAAAATTATGCTTTCTATTATTACTGATATTTCTAATTTACTTATTTTGTACAAACTGGAAGACCCCACAGCTTTCTCTTAATACAAACATTTTCATCTATTAGCAAATCCTTATTAACGAATTATTAGTATACTCACTAATGGTTAAGCGGTGCTCAAGGCAGATATTTATAAAGGCCTCCGTTCCTTGTTTAAAGGCAACCGGCCTTTTTGAACTGCGTTATAACATTTCATTTATCTAAAAAAATTAAACTTCATGCCATTATATTAAAAAATAACAATTATACATTAAAAGTGTGAGATTTCAAAGTTTATCTGAATGTATACTCATTCATGAATTTTAAAATCAGTTAACATAATTCCATACTATTTATGATAATTATACAGTTTCTCGAATTACTCATATTTTTATTCGTTACTATTACACTGCTCTGTATTAAAACATGTAATATTTTCTATAGTAATACTCAAAACACTATTTTTTATGATATTCTATACCTATTTTTCAAAATTATTTCATTCACTTAAAAATTCTGATCAACAATTAAAATTTCTTTTAACATAAATTCAAAATATAATTATTTATCTTAATATCCTTCCCTAAAAGTCGTTTAAATATCTTAAAATTCGTTACTTAATTTTATCACACATAATTATGAAAAGTTAAATCTTTTGATACCATAAAATTTTAATTCTATATTTTCATCAAACAGTGATACAATATTTAAAAAAAAACCCAATACATTAATAAAACAACATTTTAAAATTTCAGAATAGGCCCAATTATTGATGCTATTACTGCGACTAGGAAAAGCAAAAGCGAAAGATTTTACGGCATCCACACAATGTAGTTTTGACTTTCAAAGCATTAGGATCATTTCGAAAGCTGGCACACTTGAGAACCCTCTTAAAATCATTCGATTAATAAACTGACGGTGGATAACTTTTGAATAGGTTATATTTTCATTCCCCCCTCTATTGAAGTCCGTTACAAAGTCGAGGATTTTAAGAGACAGATGGTGGATGACAGACACTGCCATCAGTTACGACATCCTACTGGCTAGTTGTACTGAAAAAGACGTAGTAATATTGATGGCGTAGTATGTAGAATTCATAGAACGTAGATCCATGCTAATGAGGGAGAACTCTGACTGCGTAGGATGTTAAAGTTGAATCCGTAATACGAAATTTGGCAGTCGAGGCGGATTAAATTCCATTTTTATTTAAATTGACATTTGTGGCCACAGTAAGCTTGCTGTTCATTACGGATTCAACATTTTAGCATTCTACGCAATTAGAATTCTTCCTCTTCAGTAGTATGCTATCTTCATGCTACGCCATCGACACTGCTACGTATTTTTCACTTTTTCATCACTTACATATATATTTGTACATTCGGAAAAGTTCAGTAGCTTATCTATCCAATTTTATTTTCAACGTTACGCTATGCGACGCGGCGACAGCAATTATCACCCATGCCATCTGATTAGTTTTTCCATTCTATAGCGCACATGATCTTTCATTCATCATCCACGCGACTGTAACCTGCGAATATTTGGAGTAGTTGCTATTCATGCCTCGATTAGACATTTAAGATGTCTTTCACATTAAAACAGTACATTGCTTAACTAACTAGGTAGTTTACAAACACTATACACGCGTAAATTTTAATAACTCATACCTTTATTTGGCTTTGTATCATACATATCCTACGTAATACAAAAGTATAATGTACAATAATTCATGTGGCAGTTTTTGTAAATGTTTGCATCATTCTTCTAATTTATAAAACATGTTTCTAACGCACTACATAACGCATTTCGGTAGACAAAAATCTTTTACGAATACCCTAAAATTTGAGAATGAGTTTTGTTTTGTTATTGTGTAGTATTCTGTTGTAACTGGAAGTTTAAAGTCCTGCAGACCCTAGTATACTGATAGCGAATTATCGCTTTATCTTAAACGACTCACAAATACTGAACAAGTTTAAAACAACTTTTTAATTTAGACTTAAACAGAACAGACGCAACTTGTGCTAAAAAGAACTCCGCTGCCTTGCGAGTAACTAAATTAACATAACCAGAGCGCTAAAATTTCACATAATCTTGACTATTTGAGCTGGCTCAGAATTTTATTGGCGCGTGTTTTAAAGCATCGGTAGCTAATATAAGTCCGAATTATAACTTTAACAGTTCAAAGAAGAACTGTCGAGAGTTTTGCGAATAACAGCAAGACGCGACTGTCATATGTTATAAATCTAAACATTCAGAACTCTCAGCTTAAATACACACTGAATACTAAAAAATTAATTTGCATGAAAAACTAATTTGCATTTCGGTAGGAATACGAGAAGAAGAAAATAGAGGAAAAAGAAAGAAGAAGAAAGAAATTAAAGAGAAAAAAAAGAAGGAAGAAATTAGTTAGGCTTAAAGGAGAATAATTGATTAATTAAAATAAAATACCTTGCAGTTGTTACAGTGAAACCTTCTCAAGATCACCATCTCTGGTTCCAGATGATTTATGTGTTCTGTGGAGATAACCATCTCAAACAGTGACTATGAGGGAGATTCACTAATAGTTATTTAATTATATTTTCAACAATACTGGTCACATTCTTAAATGGTCGTTTAAGGGAGAATGAGAAGTTTTGTTGTATTTTATTTCTTAGAACCCACAATCTCGGATTTCATTGCTTTAAGAAATCTACAGAAATTATCATGCCCATTTGGCACAAAGTTTTGACAAACTGTGCTAAAACGGCACAAGAAACATAAACATGTTTTTGCGAACGATGTATGTACGTTTCTGCTAAAAAATTCGTAGGTAAAATTGCATTACAAATACGCACTTTTTTATGTTGACACCAGTTGCGGAAATCTACAATTATTAAATCAGGTTTTCCTCCTCCTTTTCCTTATAAAATACCTGGCAAACGCCACATTTATAAATAGTCAGATATTTAGGAATTAATGTCACGTAAATTTGGTGGTCTTTTAAAAAATATCCTTGAAAGCAACATTATATCAAGTTACATTCCCTAGGAGTTACAGACAGTCTCAGGTCATCCATTTATCAGCAAACACTCTTCCAAGTTTATGTTGCTGCCCCCCTCCAACACTTCAAGCATTGTGGAATGTTGCACCTGACTTTGTTACTATTGTTGTTATGTATTTATTAGCGAGTTGCTTCAAAGTCTACGACGCCTCCAACGAGATTTATTATCTCTAATTCCAATCTTTTAAAAGCCCACGAAAAGATGTAGACCTAATAAAAATAAAGACAGAGAGTTCGTGTAAAATATGGTATAGAGCACACGCTTTTGAAGGAATGTGATTCTTTGATTCTCAGAATGACAAGAGATGCAATCGAGAGCAACGCTTGACTTCGTAACTGATTTTTTAGAGATAACTGCATTTTCTCGTTGATGATTATTCTACACATTGATCGCGCTCACCGTAAAGATTAGCGAGCAGCGGAATATTTAGACACTAAAACAACGTGCGCGGAAAACAATTTGAAGTTATAAGAAACCACGCTTATGATATTCTGTATAATCTGATAACGATACTCATAAAAGTTATCAGATTTTGAACAAAAAATCTTAAGATGAGTACGTGATACGTTTATTTATTTTTCCCTTTTTATTACTTTTACGTGTATTTTTGGCATTTCATGTATATCCAGGTTCTTTGTACTTTCAAAAGTAAGCTAATAAATGAAAGTAAAATTGCAATCTGGAAACTTAATTTTACAGGCTAATACTCCGAGGTTTACCATTACAGTTTCAAAAATGAATAAATAAATAAAAATAAAACATATAAGATTCATAAGGCAAAAAGATGTGGAGAAAATAAATACTGTGCTCTGATCACGACATGAGCTACAATCCCAAATGGGGAGGTGGCTTGCAACGGCCTTGAGGTGCCTGTTCTAAAGCAACAGATTATAATGGCATTCAGTGGTCTATCCATTTGTCCACTGGCCTTTTTAAGTCCTAATCATACAATTCCTGCACTCAAGAGATTCATAAAATTGATATTCACGAGCAAAAACACTAATGAGATAACATTTTCTAAAGCTATATTAATTTCACTATTTATTATTGAAATATATGTACTTCACCTTAACAACATCTCTCAGAAAGCTGTCCGCTGCACGGAACCAATAGAGATTAGTTCTATACTTGCCTGTCCCCGATCTTTTACTAGCTGCCATTTTTCTCAATTCGTTGATATATGTATTTCGAATGATGCGTATTTTTACCTTAGTAGCAGCCACATCAAGTTTGATGCCGTAATTTGCCATCGCGGTTGCTATTTGCTTTAAAGAAAAAATTCTCATTTCAGCCTTTTTGTATTCTTGATGAGCTGGATCCCATAAGTTAGGATATTTAGCATACTCTTCGATAAACTTGATGGTTATCTCTGGCCTCCATCGTTTAATGGACATCGTGAAAAGTTTTGTAGAAACAAGCTAGTGCAACAGTTTCAGTTGCACGGAAGTAAATGAGAATCAAAATGGCAGTACGGATTGCCCTGAGAGAGTGGCGTACAACTAGGTGGCGCCACTCCGTTGGCAGTGGGAAGTAGAAAGTATGTTTTATTGAAGTTTGTTCGTAGGCGACTGTTTCGCCGAGACAGTTGCGCAATTTTACTTGTAAATTGATATTCCTTTCGTTGTAGAATCTGCCCATATTTAAACTTTTTCTTCGTTCGGGCTTCCAGTCTAAGATGTCTCACGTATTTTTAATTTCGATGTTTAATTTTGGACTAGATTCAGATGTCGTATTGAATCAGATATCATACTGATATATTTTATTTTTAACGAGATTCAGATGTCGTATCCAGATTCAGATGCCTAGTTGTAATAATTTGCGTGGATTATTACAAAAATACTTTTGTAATAAATAATCCACGCAACCGGACGTGTTTCTCAATTTCTACTTCCGAGTACTTATCCTTGTAGAATTTTTTTGTTTTACGAAAAAGTTCGTTACCTAATTTTTCTCTTATGCAGAATGGATAAAACATGACCATGTGCATCATAAATGCAACAGAACTTCGGTAAATCGAAATTAATATTAAAACGCGGATTAGGGATGAGCATTAACTTTTCTCGATAAGCCGTATTTTCGATTAATCAAATATTTTGTGTCTTTGTTTTTTTTTTCTAGTTTCGGTTTATCGAAGTTTGGTTCTATATTAAAAATTATGAAACTTTAATGGGAATCCATTTCTAAACGTGAAACAACATTTATTAAAATATTCTGTTATCATCATTATAATATTATAAGATATGTAACGAGATGTTTTATAAACTTTTTAGGATATTCATTTGTGTATATGAAGGCGTTTAATTTTATTAAGCACCGTATTTTCGAAGTAAAGTGAGACAGAACTTCGATTATCCGAAGTAATGGGAAACAATATTACTTCTGGTAACCAAAAACTTGCATAAAATAGCAAGCCACGGCCATTTAAAATGAAAAATGTCCCAAGTTAAACATTTTACTAAATTTATGACCTAAGTGTTTCTTTTAAGATATTCAAAGAATACATTATAAGGCATTTTCTCCCTCCTTTCCACATGCTTTCATGCTGTAACTTCAAGCATACTCGGCGCGCATTCAAGAGGTTCAGGGTTCGAGTCCCGGCGAGGGAACTGCAGATTTTTCACGTCTGCAGCATCAAAATCCTAATGACTCTAGAAACGGTGCCCGAACAGGAAGGTCACTAATAAAGTCATTAGGTTTTTTTTTTTTTTTTTTTTTTCCAATCAGGAGACGTGAAAAATGTGCAATGTTCTCACCGGGACTCGAATCCTGGACCTCGGAGTATACTTCCAATTACACCATGAAGGCATGTGGAAAGAAGGAAGAAAATATCTTATAATGGAATCTAATTTTAAAATGGCTGATAATCAGAAAAACCGGGGTCCTGCGACAAGCTGATCACTTGTTCAGGGAATATGCTTACGCAAACCGGGGCCTACGGTCAAGAAAGCAGATTTCGGGCACTGCAGGCCTTGGCCCATTAGGGCTGTTACGCCACCGAGTTTTAGAGGTTTTTTGATCATCAGAAATGCGTGTCATAGCAGGATTTCTGTTCAATTGCAATTATATTTAAAAAATGAAACTATTGTTTGTTGTGCGATCCGCATTTTTAAGGGGCCAAAGAGCCACGTGTAAACTTGCCTGGTATAGTTACATGCAAGAATAGCAGACTACGAAATTTTCCTCCTGGAGAAGACTTTGAAGCAAAAAAATTCATTAATGTATCAGTCATTTAAAATTTGCGGTATACTAAGAAATCGTCGAAAATGAATATTCCATTATGAAAATCTGCAATACTTTTATTCTAAATGAATTTTTGCCATTCTATCAGAAATATTGTCAGCAATCGAATTATTTTTTTAATGATATATTTCTAGCTTTCTTAATCGCTTAATTTTATAAAATTTCGATTTCTTGAATTTAAATTGAAATAAAAGCAAGGTACTTCTGTGTTATAGTGGTCCCCGTGAAAGAAAATTGTCGTCTTTGTGATTAACTGCCAAAGTTGATAGACGACTGAAAACCAATCCTACTTAATACAAAGATCAGTACATAAATAAGGTCGGCTTTTCCACCATGATCGAGACAGATAAGGTCTGAGGGCTCAATTAATACGTTACACCAAGAGGATCGGTCTACATGCAAAAGTAAGTATCGTTTATCTCAATAAGCACAATGAAATCGGCGCTTCATACCATGGATTTAGTTTAAAGCGAACATCTTTTCAATTGCTACATAATTATCTGCATGAATTGAAAATTTTTATTTTTCTTTGAGGACACTTTTGTTTCAAGTTTTCAGAGAAGAAAAAAACTTGAGTTTGTTTTCGGTTTATTTGAGTATAGCAAACCACGGAAGGGCTCTTTGCCTGAGGACGCCTTCGTGGACAAACTTGCTAAGGGAAGCATGCTCGTATCCAAGGCAGACACCAGGTAAACTACAAAAACTTTCTTTCTCTAAGTGCAATCACTTTCTAACACAAAATTTGTATGTTGCACAAAACAGTTTTACTTTGATTTTTGAAAAGATGATTTTTTCATTTCCTCGGAATTTTTTTCTTTGGGAAATTTTCTGTTCTATGAAAGATTTTTGTAAAATATTTATTAAAATAAATGCACAGTTTAGGATTCTAAAATAAATATAGTTTTTAATTAAATTCATCAAAGCAAGTTATAAAATTTTCGAACCTACATGAGACATATGGAAAAATTTAGCTTAAAATACTAGTTTCTGAGTAATATAATAATGCATGCAATTATTAGCTTAATTTTAAAATGAAACATAATTTATATTGCTATGCATAACTTAGTATTAATGCGTATCCTTACTTATACTATTTAATACTTAACATTTTTAACACTATGACGTATTTATGTCATGAAATTAATACATAGTTTTTTAAACGACTCAACTAAGATTTCTGAAATTGAAAAGATTATGACGAAACATTTAAGAATTCTACTACACGATCTAAATTGATCAAATATTTAATTATATGTTTGTCAAGTTTTTGACATGAATTATCAGATTTTTGATTTGAAGGAAAACTTATAAGAACGACCAGATCTCCATCTATCTCTTCCCGACGCTCGAGTTCATTGACGTATTGATGTCTGCTCAGTGATGCTTTAGAGACATTAGGTAGTTTTTGGAAGCAGGAGTCATGAAAAATGAGCAGCGCTCTCGCCGGGAATCGAACCACGGACCTCTGGAATACGCACCCGCACTACGAAGACATGCTAAGGAGGCGGGAGAAATACCTTATATAATCCCCCTTTTAAAGGGACCCAGTTGCCATATCGTGGATGTGCGGAATCATCATCCACCACCCTTTTAGTTCGGGCGCCACTGTAGAGACATTAGGTATTTTTGGAAGCAGGAGTCATGAAAAATGAGCAACGCCCTCGCCGAGAATCGAACCATGGACGTCTGGAATACACACCCAGCGTGCTGACCACTACACTACGAAGGCATGCTAAGAACGCGGGTGGAATACCTTATAGTGTCACTTGGCTCATAGAAGTGAGAGTACAAGTTACATTTATTTTCTCAAGTGGGCTAAGGGAAAGATGGCATGTGACAATG